TCACTTTCTGCCCACCCAGGATCCCTAAGGCGGGTGGTGCTGAGGCCTGGCTCCCAGCCAGCACTGGACAGCCAAACGGGCCTAACTAGAAACAGGCCACCCAGAGGCCCATGGTGGGCGCAGCCCTTACTCCAAGAGTTGCTGTTTCCTCGGACCCAAACCCACCCAGCCCTGAGGGTCCAGGGAAGAGGGATGAAGGCTCAGCCTTGCCCCTGCCGGGAGTCAGCATTTGTCCAAGCAGGCAGCAGAGAGTAAATGGCAGGGGGAGCCAGGGAGGCAGCAGAGGCTGCTTGGAGGGGTGGGGACTTGGCACCAAGGTTGAGCAGGGTGGAGGTGTGTGGAGGGAGGGAGTTGCCAGCCAGAGTGAGGTGGCGGACCCTGTGGTAAGGGTTGGGAGGGGGAGATAGCTGGCAGAGAAAAGGGGGGTAGCCAGGTTTGCAAGGGTTTAAAATCAGAATTTCAATCTGATATGACAAAAGTAGGGAACTACTGTAGCTTCTTGGGCAAAGGAGTGTTCAGGAAGGGAGCTGGGTTGGGGAATAGGAGAAATGAGGGAGATGAGGTATTGGAAGGAGTCTAAGCAAATATCCCTCTTGGGTGTTTAACCCATAGAACCCGCTGGTTCCGGTTGACCAGTGGATTACTAAACGAAGCTTAGATGCATTACCATCAAAATTCACATTTTCAAATGGCATGAGAAAATGTCCTGAGTCTTATGCTGAGTGAAAAACTAAGAAGAATGTGCTTATTAATCTTTATTTTGTAAGAAAAGTGCTTGTTGGGACATAATTGTTTAGTTTGCTTCTTGATGGAGACTTATTTCTGTTGCTTTTGCCCATTCTTTGCCAAACATCTGCTTTAACCTCCCGGAGGATTTCACCTTAGTGCCCCCTGACCTTGGGGTAAGTAAGAGAAAACTGACTTCTGGATTCTGGATTTTGTGGCTTTTCAAGTCCATTTGGAAAGGACCAGGTAGTAGGGGCGGGGGGTAGTGAGGTGAGGCGGTGAGGGAGATGTGTGGAAAGAAGAACTGGGAATTAGGGTGGACTCCCCCGGAGGCCCCAGGGAAGTCTCCAATATCAATGGTTTCAGGGGCTTCTGGGGGATCAGTTTCTAAATTCTCCAGGGGTATCAGTTTCTAAATTCTCCAAAATCCCCAAGTCCAAGAGAGAAACAGCCTGGCTGCAGGACCCCAGGCCCTTTCCAGGGTCACCGACATGTACAAGCAAGTGGAGGTGACTTGGGGCCCCTGAACAGCCCCCTTGTTCACACACACCTTGGCACAGCGTGAGATGGAGAACCAGGGCGCTTTCCAGGGATTGGGGGAAGGTCAAAATCCATAGGAAGCTGATTTACAGTCCTAGTGACACGCTGTTTCCTGCAGACCCCAGTGGGTGGCCTCAGGGGCTCCCCAGGCAATGTGTTAAGAAAAGTCTGGAGGGAAAATGCCGACTCTTAGCAGCAACTTTCTGCAGATAGGAAGATGGCGATTTTTCTTCTTAAAAGTGAGCTATTTTTCAAATTTTCTGCAACGAGCAGATGTGAATTTTAAAATTAGAAGGCCAAAAATATTAGGAAAAGTGGCCCTGGTGAGGCCAGACTTAAGGGGACAAGGACAGAGCGGTCCCCTGGAGGGCCAGGCTCACAGTGTGGCTTCTGGGCTGGTCTGGAGGCAGAGGCTGAGGCACCTGTGTGGCATTTGTACCCCTCGCCCCTGCCTGACCAGCTGCCGCTCCTGCCCTGCTGCCACTCACTCCTGGAGGCCAGATGGTGCCGCCACTGTGTTGCCAATTAGAGGTGCCTCATTACCGGCCAGCTGAGGGGATTGGAGACCGCAGTGCCCACCAGCCCAGCCCAGGCCCCATTCATCACAGGGTGTCTACATCCCAGGGTCTTTTCTAAGGCAGTAGGAGCATCTGACACTTTTTCCACTTGGCCCACCTTTATGCCCGCCTGCTTCTCCTGTGCGTCTTCTGATCTTCTGATGGCATCTGAGTTCTCCCAGTCTCCGGATGAAGCATTCACCCCAGTCTTTTTCTTTTCCTTTAAAGATTTATTTATTTATGCACACAAGAGCTGGGGTATAGCCCAGAGTTGTGGGAGGTGAGAGGATTCACCAGACAGAGTGGGGAGCAGCAGAACAGGCGGATCTACTGAAACACACTGCTGAGGGGAGCAGTGGGTGAGACAGGAGGGGTTTGCTGCACCATGTGGGTAGCTCCCTGGCCAGGCATGGAACTCATGCTGTAGTGGCTGCTGATAGCTTGATAGTGCTGTGTCTTTAACCCCTGCACCACCAAGGAGGCTCCAGTTTTCTTCTTTTTCAACACTGATAATCAGCAAGCCATCAGGTCCTAATAATTTGACCTCCAATTCTCCCTTACCCTCCCAAACCATTTCATGCCTCTCCATTTCTTACATTTTCTTATTTGAGATCTCACATCCTTAGCAGGGCCCTCCTGCATGGTTCCCTGCCTTGCCTATGTCTGCCTCCTACAATGCCACATCACAGAAGAGAAAAGTGCTGGGTCTGTGCTTCTATACTCAAAATTACTTCGATGACACTTACTGCCCTCCCTTCCACCAAAGTTTATAGTATAAAATCTAAGTTCCTTTTCCTGTAGCTGAAAGCCCTCTCAGGTCAGTTCTGGGAAAGAAGAAGGCATAGCACACATTACTATTCCTGGCTCTTGTTCCCATGGCAGACATTACTAATTGATTACCTCACTTTCCCTCTGCTGATCAGGGATGTGGCTTCAGAGTTCTCTGCAGGGCAATATATCAGATGCCCCAAAATAACTGACCAAAGTCACAACCTTGAATCCAGTCCTAACTCAAATGCTTCTGCTTATCTCTCTCTTGCCCATCCACTCTCCTCCTGCCCAGCCACATGAGAAGTGTTTGTACAATCACATTGGGATAATCAAGGAGGGTTTATTAATGAGACTATGCAGTTGTGGGCAGCGGTACATCCATGACTAGCAACAAGAGAGCTGTAACTACCCCCACACCTAAAAAGTTAAGACACCCCAAAGGAGAGAGTAGCATTGAATGGTGACCTCTGGTTAGGGACATAGCTAAGCTGAAGCAGCCCTGAATGGAGGAGCTGGTGGAATAAGCACCCTGGCCTTCCTCTGCCTCTCTCATGTCACATGCTTGGGATTCCCGTTACCCAAAGCCAAATAAAGCTGGAGGGTGAGAAGACCCACAGCCAGAGACATGGGGCCAAGCAGGTTTGAGGGTACATTTGTGGCACCCCAGAATATTTCAACCCACAGGAGGATATTCTCAGCACCACAGGGAAGAGGGCAGGAGCTGGCTTGGCACAGGATGATCCCTGAGTGTGCTGCTCATTCTTACTCTGTCTTACTCTTGCCTACACAGAACTGTCTGACTGTGAGACTTTCCCAAAGCTGCCCTGGCCAATACCTCCTGAGTTAGTGTTCATGGTTCCCTCCTCTGGGCTCCATCACCAGGCACATGTGTGTGGCAGTGGGCCCCACACAGCTGGAAGATGGAGCCCATGCTCTCATTACTGGTCCAGGACCTGGACACCCAGAGGGCACTTCTGAGCAGGTCCAGGGGGCTGGCTCCTGCACAGAGTCCTTGCCTCCAGCTTCAGCCAAAGTCTCAGATTTATCCTTCCCCTATGTGGCTTCCTAACCATTTCTGCCCCAGAGGGGCAAAGGTGAGAAAAGCATCTCTGCCCACTCACCAGGATGTGTGCAATTTCTTGTATGTTTCATACTCTGTCTAAAAATTAGCCCAAAGTCAGGCCTTCCTCCACGAATAGCCCCGTCTTTGTTTTGATAGCCAAAACGTGGTTTACGCCCCCATGCTCACATAGAACAGTGCTCTGGAAACTGCAGGCTGTCTCTGGCAGCTCCTGTAACTTACTGGGGGGCACACTCCATGTACAACTCACTCCCAACCACTCCTCCTCCCCCTTGCCACCCAGACCAGGTTCTGCAGAGCAGGTTTGAGAAACAGCCTGGGCCTGCCGAAGTCTCCCTAGGAAGCTCCTATTCCATCAGGGCCTGTCCAGCCTGGTGGGTGATAAGTCACAGAACCCCCGCAGCCACATCTGGGGGTGTATGAGGTAGACTCTCACACCGTGACTCTGTTCCCTGGACCTTTGTCCAGTGTGCTCATTTGGGCCGCTGACCCTCGGTGGCTTATTTTGCTCTGCTCTCTGGCTCTCTGCCTCTGTCCCCTGTGGCCTGCCTTGCATGGCTGGATAGGCCAGAACACAGATGCTCTCCACTCAAGTCAGCCCTACCTAACAGACATCTGAGAATCTGGTATGTGCCATGGGCTGTCCCAGGTACTGGACGAGGTGACAGCTACGGTCCCTGCTCTCTGGGCCCTCACATCTAGTTCGAGAGGCTGGCAGATGACAACCAAATGATAGTACAGTATGTCAAGGGTCACCTTTCAGGTGGGTACATAGATAGACCAGAGGGGAAAATATAAATGTGGCTCAACTATCAGGGAAGGCTTCCTGTAGGAGGTGATGATCAAGCAGGGTTTTCACCTGAAGAGCGTCTTATTTTATTTTATTTTAAAGATTTATTTATTTTTATACAAGAACTGGGGTATAGCCAAGATGTGCGGGAGGGTGAGAGGATTCACCAGAGAAAGATCAGGGAACAGAACAGGCAGACTGATGAAACACATTGCTGGGGGGAGCAGCGGGCACCACAGGAGAGGTCTGCTGCGCCATGTGGGACTCTCGCCAGGCGACTGGGATCAAACATACGCTGCAGAGGCTGCGGACAGCTTCACAGCTCGGTGCTTAAGTGCCTGCGCCACCAGGGAGGCCCAAGATAGTCTTATTTTATAGCTGCTTACATCTCAGCCAGGACAACAGTTTCTTTTCTGTGGACAAGATGGAGGGGGTTGGGTGATGTCCTGTCTGGGTTGAGATCTGGAACTCAGCTCTAAGGTACTGGTAAGGCTCATAAATGGGGTTGGCCCCCCTCCACGGTTCCCACCTGCATTCCAAGTGGGATATCCAAAGAGGGCCCCAGAGGCCAAGGCCGTGTTGCTCCTGCCACAGCTGGGAGGAAACAGCCCCGAGAGTTGCACCGTGTGTGTCTTCATTATCGGGGTGGAAATTCCAACCAGCCTCCCTCCACATCACAGCCTTGATAATCATAATAAATTGGAGCGTTTCAGAGTCCAAAGCACAGAGGAGGCTGGGGCGCATTAGCAAGAACCTTAGCTAGCAGCAATATGCTGCCACGGAACAAAAGTGCGGCCTGAAACCCCTCTGCACCTACCAGGGCCGCCAGGTTGATTTCCGGTCCTTACCTAAGCCAGCCTCATTAGTCTCACCCAAGCATGTTCCCCTAATGATGTTCCAGCAGAGATGGGGGCACACGTCCTTATGGTCTGGGCAGCCGTGGCTCCTAATAAAGAGTAATAATAATAATTAAGAACAGCCTATTAAATTCCTCCTTCCCACCTCCCCCCTTACTCCAGCCTGTCCAAACTGGCACAGGACCAGGGGTGCTGGGTCCCTGCAGCGACTCCCCAGATTTATTCAAGCATGTTGCCCTGGCAAATGGCTCCAACTCTCCTGCTCTCTGCCCACTAATGAACATGTGCTGGTGGTTCCTGGGAGTTCAAGGACTTTGGGAAGCGGCTTGGGGGTGGTGTAATCAGCAACCAAACAACTGTCTTCTCTAGAAATCACAGACGAGCCCACCTCTGTGCCTTAGGATCCGTGCTCTTCCTCCAGGGACACCCTTTCTTTGTCCCTCCATGAGGCCTGCCCAGCCCCCTGGGCCCCTGACATTCAGTCCCGCGCCCCCTGTTCTGAGTGCCGGGCGGCTGTCAGGGTGCCCTGTCACGGTCTCTGAGATGAGTTCTCCACCTTCACTTGTTTGTCTCTCTAAGGCATCCAGCCAGCAGAATTACTAGTTTGCTGAATGAATATGTGCAAAGGGTACGATGCCTGGAAAGGAAGTTCAGAAATAATCAGAAATTGTCATCTTCATATCCTCACTTTGGGTAACCGTCCACCGGCTGGGAGGTGAGTTCTTAGAATCAGTAGGCTCAATTGCAGCCATTGACTCTCCGCCCCCCCCAATGTTGGCCACATTTGGTATTACCCACAACAGAGACAGGCCCAAAGGCTCAGTGTCCTATGATGATCGCCACAGCCCAGGGGTCACTGCTGCAGGCAAGGCTGAGGACAGGGTGGGGGCAGCACGGGTAGGGGGAGGGGAGGACACTGGGCTCTCAGAAGAAGAATCTGTGCTCCCGTGCCTTTGACACCAGCTTACAGGCCTGTTTGATGGTAGGAGGTGGTGGGACCTACTCAGTTGAAGAGGGAGAATCTTCCCTTTTTCTGCCCAACAGGAGGGGCCAGGGAAGTGTCCTGTGGGCTTGCTGTCTGGGTGCACGCTGGCAGGAATGAAGATGACGGTGTCCTCAAAAACCCAGCTGGGTGGTTGGTCCTGCTTCAAGGGCAATGTGTTGGTCCTGTGGGCTTCAGAGTCCCCTGGCCCCCGAAGGCGGGGAGCTACAAGAACCCTCCCCAACTCTGCTGCACAGGATCCTGCATTCAGGGGCAGCTGTTAAGGATGTTTGTTCTTTTCCTGTCATCTCCGTCCAAGGGCCAGGAGAAGCAGGTATGTGTGTGGAAGCGCGCGTGCGCGCGCACGCACACACACACACACACACACGCAGTAAGAACTCAGGAATGAAAAACATTTGTAAACATTCAGTATTATTCTATGGCGAGGCACTGTCCTCCCAGGAAAGGAGTTCATTTACTTGTTGGCTCGGTGGGTATTTCCAAGCCTTTACTCCGTGTCAGACCCAGGCCAGGCACAGAGGCACCAGCGAACCAACTGCTCAGGGTCTCTACCTTGATGAATCTTCCAGGGAAAGAGAGCTAGACATTCCATGAACACACAAGTCCACGTTTAATTACAAATCAGGACCAGCACAGGGAAGAAGTGGTGGTGTGCACAGGACAGTTCTGCAGGGCCTGGTGCTGCCTGGGTCAGTAGGCCCCAACAACCTGACTTCTGAGGGCAGCCATGGGCGTGGAGGACTACTTGGGTAGGGGCAGTGGGAGCCAGAAGTGAGGTTCCGGGAAGAAGGAAACTGCTGGGCCATGGCCTGGGTGGCTGCAGGCTGATGAGATGGGGCCCAGTGGTTGGTGAATGTGGCGGGAGCAGAGCTGAGGGGCAGCAGGCCCTGCAGGCATCCACAGAAGGCTGGTTGTTACTTTGGGGGCAGGGGAAGCATGGCCAGATTTGCGGGCTGTAGAGTAGGGGACCCCAGGAGTGGCAAGAGCAGATGAGGATAAGTTTGGGTTCTTCACCCCAGTCCTGATGAGAGGTGAGGGTGGTAAGCAAAGAAATTCAGCAGCAGTAGTGACGCCAGCTGTGGATGGCGGGTTGGCTGGGAGGTGTGAGCAAAAGTGGAGTTAGACGTGCTGGCATCTGGCCAACACTGCTGGGCAGGCTCAGCGCAGAGAGAGGCTGAATGTTCTCCAGGCAGAGGGGAGAATGCAGGGGCTGCAGAATGGCCCAGAGTCACAAGAGCTGAAGTGGGAGTTGGGGAGAAGGTGGAGGGGGCAAGAGAACATGTGTAGTTTAGGGGCCCCAGGTCCCCTTGAGGGCCCCCTGGTCCTGACTCCGTCTTTCTCTTAAATACCATCCTCGCCTCCCACAGACCTCCAGCGAGTGGGATGGGGTGAGGGTGCATGGTGTGCATAGAGATATCCCCAACCAGTTCTAAACACAAACAATTCTGTTATTAAAATATTAAATGAAAGACAATCCTTTTTTAGCTAAAAAATGAAGAATATTCAAAATAAGGTACAAACTATTAACACCAACATGAAATGAGAACTCCAGAGGGGAGTGAGCACTAGTCCAAAATTAGCAACGTGAAGCAGGGATGACCCCGTGGATTTCACATCACGCAGGCTCGCCCTAGCCTCCAGCTAGCAGATGACTCCAATGTGGGCTTCTCCAGGTCCCGGACCCCCCAGAGGATCTAGGGTGCCTCCCAGGGAGTTCTGCAAGTGTGGTCTGGGGTGAGCAGCATCAGCAGCATTTGTTAGAAATGGTCATCCTGGACCCGACTCCAGACACCTCCGAATGAGAATGTGTGGATGGGGTCCAGCAAGTTGTGCTTTGTTTGATTTTGTTTTCTTTATTGAGGTGAAATTCACGTAACATAAAATGAAGAGTTAAAAAGTGTACAATTTAGTGGCACTTAGTGTACTCAAACTGTTTTGCAATCGCTGCTTTTCTCTGGTTCCAAAACAAACACCCCAAAAGGACACCTATACCTATTAAGCAGTTAGTCCTTATTCCTCTTTCCCCAGCCCCTGGCAAGCAATGATTGATCTACATTAGAGACAAAAGACTGGGGCCTCCCTGGTGGCGCAGGTGGTTGAGCGCCGCACTGTGAAGCTGTCCGCAGCCTCTGCAGCACCGGTTCGATCCCGGCTGGCCAGCGAGGGTCCCACATGGCATGCCAGACCTCTCCTGTCTCGCCCACTGCTCCCCTCAGCAGTGTATTTCGTCAGTCTGCCTGTTCTGTTCCCCGCTCTGTCTCTGGTGAATCCTCTCACCCTCCCGCGCATCTGGCTTGTACCCTGGTTCTTGTATAAAATAGATAAATAAATCTTAAAAAAAAAACACTGTGGATTTATCCATTCTGGATATTTTATGAGGAATCGTACAATGTGTGGCCTTTTGTGTCTGATTTCTCTTGCTGAGCATTGTGTGTTCAGAATTCATCCCCACTACAGCATGCATCAGTGCCAGGTTTCTGTGCATGCCTGAATAATATTCCATCAGATGGAGACACCACATGAGGCTGAGTTTTAACAACCCTTCCCAGTGAGTCTGATGCATGCACAAGGTGGAGAACCAGTAGCCGCTGGAAGTGGGGGTTAAGTCCCCTGGGGCAACCTTCCAGGGTACCTCCAGAGCCCACACTCAGGATGCTTCTGTTTATCATAAAGGATCTGGATCTGCAGCCCACTATGGCAACCCCTAGGTCTCTACTCAGAAACATTTTGGATGTGTTAAGGTTTTTACATGAGTGAGCTTAAATGAGCCAAAATGCATTGTTTGGGAAAAGTTCTCCTTGGTCAGACCACTTGTTAGTTCAAAATAGATGGCAGCACGAGGGCCCAGGGCAGCAAGGGCAGAGGGACCACCGCCTTTGGTGCTGCTGCTCTGGCTGGATGAGTGGCCATCACTAACCAGCTCTGGGTGCCCCTAGTCAGGTCCTCTACCCATGGACTACAGCGAGGGCTAGGAGAACCCAGAACCAGGCTCGGTGAAGAAAGACTGTTATTTGATGGACTCCTCTGAAATCACTGTTTATTTAGTTTGAACAAATTTCAGCATATACCAGCGCAAGCTTCTGTGGGGTAAGGAGTTGGCATTTTATTCTGGTTTCAGTAGAAGCTATTGGAGGCTTCAGGCTAGAGTGACAAGAGTCAGTAGTGACTCTTGAGCTGAGAACCAATGAACTTTATTAAAACATCCCCTTGAACTCTTTGGGGATGAGAGGTGGGGATATCATTACCTTTTACTCAGGGTCACCGGCAGTCCCCCAGCTCCACAAGGTTTTCTGAGAGATGCCTGAAGAGACGCCTGAAGAGAGATGCCTGTTTTGGGGAAGAACCCAGTCAAGATACTCACGGGACCCTGTTCTCACTGAACTGTCACTGGCCCTGTGAGGTGGGCACCACGCTTGTCTTTAAATGACAGACAGAAGACTAATGTCTCAAGAACCAGATTCAACCATCTGACTACTCACTCTTGCCTCTTCCTTGCCTGCACACTTCCCTGGGCTGTGATGTTTGGAGCCAGCACCTAACAAACTTTGGGTGCCCGAGGAGTTGGGCTGGTATCTGGGCACATGTCAGAGGAAGATGCAGGAGGCAGGCATCCCCTAAGTCACCTTATTTTTTTTTTTTAAAGTTTTATTTATTTATTTATACAAGCACCGGGTACAGTCAGAAGCGCAGGAGGGTAGGAGGATTCACCAGAGCCAGAGCAGGGAGCAGAACGCACAGACTGACGAAGTATACTGCTGAGGGGAGCAGCGGGCGCGGCAGGAGAGGTCTGTGCGCCATGTGGGACCCTCGCTGGCGGCCGGGGATCGAACCGGCGCTGCAGAGGCTGCGGACAGCTTCACAGCCCAGCGCTCAACCACTGCGCCACCAGGGAGGCCCCCCCCTAAGTCACTTTAATAGCAGTCTGTTAAACCCTGTCCATGCAAACTCCATTTTGGACTCTTGCTGTGTGACTTGGATAAGTCACTTAACCTTTCTGAGCTCCCCTTCCTTACCTGCGTAAACAGAATGGCAATAATATCTACCCCTTTGGACTGTGGGGGCACTTAAACATAGCACCTTGTTCTC